AAATTTGCTCGATTTCACCAGGAGTGATAATTAAGACTTCCTACACAAAGCCTACATCTCTTCCTAAATTCGGTCTCGATAGTTAAATCCTGCAACTAGTTTATGGGTGCATAGGTCCAAATTGACACGTCGGTTTGTGCTTTCTTCACTGCATACCATACCTCCGGTTGGCAGTCTAAGTAGATGGGAGTTCCAGCAGCGGTAGGTGATCGCCTGCTCACAGGTTAACGCCCGTCTAACAAGCTCTCCCAAGGTTTCACGGTTCGCACGGCTGTAGCTCAGTTGGTGCCTGTAGGAGCCGGGCTCTTGGTAACCGTCTACGACAATTGGGCCCATATTAGAATGATAGACATGCGTCTGCACCATATTGATGTCTGATATAATGAAAAGGATAAAGAATAATGACAAGTAGGTAGAATAAGATGAAAAAGCATAAACAGATTAAAATAAAAAATAGGAAGCTAAGAGGATAACAACAAAGAAACTAACACAAAGAAGTGGTCTGACCTCGTTTTCGTAACTTGATTGTGCTGTGATGGCGAAGTCCTCTGCTCAAGTAGTTATGATAGTTATGGCTTGGTGTTGAGAATGGCAAGACTCACTGACAATGCCGACTACGATGTCGGCCAAGCCTCTGGGAATGTACCAAATCCACGTTCCGACGCTGGAAATTATGATAATTACTATAGCAGAGGACTTCGAACAAGGTGCATCCAATTAAGTCGCCCTGACGACACTACTTAAATGCGAAATCGAGGTCAAACCACTTCTATACATCGAAAGGAGACTGTGACCAAAATAGAGGCCACCACTTCTTAGTCTTTACATCTACGAACTTACACAAAATTGATAAGTTCAACTCCATTAAGTCAACTGCATGGTCTGAAGACACTGAAAAACGGCAAGGTTAATGTCAGGTGGTTACCTGTGAAATCACATTGCACCTCAATTGGCTCCAACACCCCCGAGCCGTCCAGGTCAATGGTGATGTTCTTCCGTGGTGCCTGTCGGCTGTAGAAAAGGCCGACCTCGGAACACGAAGTGAAATGCTCGCTCTGATGACAAACGGCGCCTCCGTATCCCGTTTTGGAACAATCGCAGAAGAAGTCGTTTCCCGTTTGCGTGCAGGGCGCCTCGTGCTTGCAGGGATTTGGATTGCACCGATCTTGGATCATGCAGCTACCATTGATGATGTCCGCATGCCGACTGTTGACGTCCAGTTTGGACCAAACCACCTCCTCACTGTTGATCCTGACTCGACGTAGGCAGCCTTGGTAGCTGAAGATCTGAGGCCGGCCACCTCCGATATAGCTGACTGGGTCGAAGATCACCTGAATGGGTAACAAAACGCCTGGACTCAAAAGTGGCTAGGCCGCAGAAGAATGAATAGCCAAAAGTATGCTCAACTTTAGCGGGGTTTTCACAATGTAGCCTATATTCACGAAGAAGAGGCTCTGCAATTGTTACTGGTCCCTGAATAAGTACTTAATCATCACAGGTAGTTTAAGGTGATTCAGGCGGAACTTCTCCCAATTTGTTACGAGTAAATGCCATGAAGCTATAGAATTTCAACAATAATCT